GGGGCGTAGCGTTACGACAGTGTCGTAAGCGTGTACTGGTGGCCATTTAAGAGCTCTGTACGAACACAGCTCAGCTTTATATGAGCTCAGGCTTGGTTTTCAGGATCTGTGTTTAACTGCACCTGATTTACAATGCTGAGCCATTATAAGCACGCGCCCGGGTGGCCGGTTGGATGCCCTTCGCTCGGGTGGGGGTCAATTTGAGCCTCCTGAGATCTCAGGAACTAAGAGAGTTGACACCAAATTCCCAGAGTGTGTTGGCCTTTACGTGAACCCACTTAGGTCAAAGTTTGAGGTGCCTAGATCATGACCTTTGGGTCAAATAAGCTCAAACAATGTTAAACTGCATGTTCGTGTCCAAAGTGCCCCCAGGGCTTAAATACCTTTGCTAAGCAAAAGGTGAAATGCTCAGTTAAGATCAGTGACCTTGTTTGAGCTTTCGAAGGTCATGATGACTAAAATCACACAACACTGCTTTAAGTTTTGCATTTGAATAAGCGACAAAGATTACGCTAGGCAGTATGTTCCTGCAAACAAAATGTTGACCTGAGTCATTTTAGATCAGTGACCTGTCCTGAACTGTAAGAAGTCCATGGAAGATGCATAATGCGGTTCCAGTTATCAATAAATTCGAAATGGGCACCAGAAACTTTTTGATCACGCAAGCCCTAGAGCAATAAAGCAGGTTGGTTCTGACCTTGGTCTGAGCTTCATGCCTGATCCTAGGTCAATTAAATTTGTTCATTCAAGTGTTGCGTTGCCTAAGGGAGTATCTCAGAGGTGTATGGCTTCATCTAACACTCCATTGTTGCATCAGATTAAACGCTTCCCTAGAAAATGACTGCTGAATCCATGACCAGACTTTGACCTGCCATAGGTCAGCTAACTTAAAAGATATATTTAGTTTATAATAGACGATGCGCTTTTCAATTACCTGCAAAGATGTAACATTTGGCGTTTTGGCCTGAGCGCGTGCCAGTTAGTTTGAGTCCTTCTTTAGCCATAATTATGTCATGGACACTTGAATCAAGCAGGTCTTCCAAGTAAAACACGTCAGGCGCGATGTCATCTGCCTGGATCTCTCCATCGATGTTACAGATGCCGAGATACTAACGTATTAAAGCAACCGAACCATGTCACGCGCTGCCAAAAACGCATCGTGATGTTCTCCAGCGCTGGCGGCCTGCCCCAGCGACCAGTGGCTGACCAACGACGGCAACTGCTACTGGATATCCGCCTACAAGGCGTCTTGGGACAACGCGCGAAAGGCCTGCCAAACGATGGACCCCGCCGCCGACCTGACATCCATCAGTCACCTGTGAGTTGGGCTGGTTTAGTTTAGTACAATTTAGCTTAGTTTAGTTTAGAGCAAAATTGTCTGGCTCCGAGGGCCGGTTCGGCATCCTACCGCAACGGAGATCTCCGAGACGATTGTTGCACGGTGTCGGTCGATCTATGGAACGCCATCCTTCCGCTGGGCTGACCATCGCTCCTTCCGCTGATCGATGTGGCATCGGCTTTTGAAAGGCGGGACTCGGTATAACTGATTGTTGATTCGTGTCAGGTCAGTGACGTACGCATCTGCTGCAGTATTTCTTCAAAGGGTAACCACCCTTGCCAAGTGTAACAAGTGATCGATGAAACCAGCGATTAACCGTACAAACGTCAGTTGGCGGCCCGCAGGCAATGTGTGGAAGCGAGAAACAGGCGGAACACACCCGCTTTTTCCGCAGGCTGGAGAACTCGTTCATCGTGGAAAAGCTGGGCGCTGAGTACGCATGGATCGGCCTGAACGACCATATGCACAACAGAGAGTTTCTCTGGAGTGACAACTCCGTGGTAGAGTTCCTGGTACGAGCGTCCACCGCCCGTCGCCAGACTGCGCCGACACCGAGCCTGACAGGACTGGCGCCGCGGGCCGCAGCCGCGACTACCATCCAACCCCTCGAAAATAAATCGGCTGGGCCATTGCGGAGCATGCAAAGTATTACGTATCCATATCACCCTCCCCCCCCTTCTTGTTCGCATCTCCTCGACGTCTGCACCGGTTCCACACTCAAGCTTGAGAGCGAGTATGGCGGTTAAGGCACCCAATGACCCCACGGAGTGACTTCACCCATGCAGGGCGGGACGGGACCGATGGTAACCTAACTACTCTGGCGCTGCGCCTGCTCGGCACGGCCCGCACTCCAGCTCGGTACGACCCATGCAGGGCGGGACGGGACCGATGGTAGCCTGACTACTCTGGCGCTGCGCCGGCTCGGCACGGCCCGCACTCCAGCTCGGTACGACCCATGCAGGGCGGGACGGGACCGATGGTAACCTAACTACTCGGGCGCTGCGCCGGCTCGGCACGGCTCTCACTCCAGCTCGGTACGACCCATGCAGGGCGGGACGGGACCGATGGTAACCTAACTACTCTGACGCTGCGCCGGCTCGGCACGGCCCGCACTCCAGCTTGGTACGAGCCATGCCTGCGACACGTCTGTCGACGGCGTTGGGCTCAGGTGATCAGCTGAGTCACAGTGACGGCTCGACGCGGGTGGCCTGACCGGTGACCGGTATGCCGGCAGTACTGGGCACCGAACCAGCCGGACAACCTGCTGTTCAAGCAGCACTGCGTGCAGATCTACGATAAGCTGTCCGGCGAGTGGGACGACGAGGACTGCTCGGTCGAGAAGACGTTCGTCTGCAAGTTGACTGGCGCCGCGTAAATTGAGCTTGAAGCCACCCTGTTCCTACTCGTGAGAGGTACTTGAAACCTCAGGCCCAGAGGATGCCGCTGAGTCTGTGACATAGCTGCCAACGCTCCTCCTTTGGTACGGCCAGATCGGGATGTATTCTTTGTATTGTACCCGAACACAGAAATTAACATGAACTGATCCTATGAACCATGGAAGTTTTGCTTGTGCTTTGGCGTCTTGACGTTTCTTGGCGCCGCGTCCTCCTTCGATAAAGATAGCTGAAAGAAGTGGGAGCCAACACAATACCGACAAAGCCCCAAATTTCCAACCACGAGGTCGTGAAATCGAATATGTGAGTGTTTGGGCCACAAGCTACCTCCATGGTGTAGCCGACAGATGTCAGCCTCGTCACCCAACGGCACAGAGTGCGAGGCCCGGATTGGGCGCAGTGCCTGACCCGGCTGGTATGGAAATGTCAGCTCGCAACGGCAAAAAAGGGTCAGCCTGGCCCAGCTCGACCGTGTCGACACCGTACGGCACCTTCAGCCTTCGGCGGTCAAATCCTAAAACCAAAGAAGGGAAACCTTCCGTCTGACATTATGACCGGAGATAAGGCTGTCTGATGACTGGTAGCGTCCATGTCCGGGGGTAGCGTCGGCGCACGCGCAAAGGTTCTGCGTATCATATGCCTCAAACCCAAAGCCACCCACGCAAAACGTTTTAAATAATAACCAAATGGAGTCACGTTTTTTTCCTGTGCATTGAGGAGAGGAAACGAAAACACTGGGCTTCTAACATACGATGTTCGACGGCCAGACGAAGTTCGGCCCCAGTGGCACAGTCACAAGAGAACACGGACAGGTGTCCGCCTGACTGTGTTGGTGAGAAGCGACGCGAACGGTGCGGCGATGGCAGACCACACAGCTGACACGCGTTATCCGCGACTGCAGACAATGCACCTGCCATCTTCCCACCATCGGGGCGCTGTAAGGTGAGCGCGTGCCAAGCGTCGCCGGCGGGGCAGAGGGTAAGGTGCTAAGACCTTCCGTCTCACCTTGAGACCTTCTGACCTACTCAGGTCGCCTACAACAGCCCAGCGGGAGAGTTGGCAGCACAGGCTGTTGTCACGCAGCAGCATGACGTCAGTGGTAGTGATTGATACCGCCTCCGCACACAGACCAGTGGAGCAAGAGCAAGGGCCAATAGCACAGGCTGGTGGTGACTTGGTGATGCCGCGACCCTTGGCTAATTTCCAGGGCACCCAGTGCTCTGTGGGCTTTGACAGCATTGCGCATCACTGAATCGGGCGCCAATGGTGGACCATAAGCCGAATTTTGGGCCGGCCCCTCAGATCAGGGCACGTTCGACAGCTTGTCAGGGGCTTTGCCCGGAGTAGCTGTTGGACTGTTTCTTCGTGACTAGATCAAAGACCCGATCCCGGGTGTGGCCTGTTCGCCAGCCTCTTAACTTTCTTAGTCAATCCCCCGAGGCTACACAAGCCTTGGGTCCGTTACTCGAGTCTAATGCGGAACGCACACCAACTCCGAACAACGGCCAGTGGCGTGGGTGCGCACATCGACTAACAGACAGCCGCGTATCCCTCCCTGGTGACGTCATCCGGACAGCTTCCCTCTCTGGGCGGGCGCCGGTTCACCCCCTCCCCCTCACATACGCACCCAAGCACACCCCCATACGAGGCTCACTATTTGTATTTGTATCCGGTGCTCGCGTCGCACAGGGCAGCGACCCACCCACACCGCGTGCCCTCGCCAGGCGCGCGTCACGCGCTCGTTGTACTGAGATCCGAAAATTGTCCGAAAAGCACCGGGACGCCGGCGCCGGCCGCTCCGCCGGTACGCCCACACTGAATCATCGTCAGAACACACGCTCGGACAAACCACGGCTGGAGTCAAAGTACTGTAAAACCTACTGCTACAGACGAGCTCGGCTCGACACTACACATTGTACAGGTCGCCCGCGACTGGCGGCGGCCGGCGGAAGCAGCAGTGTTTGCATATGCCGCAAGGGGCGCGAGCGGCGCCTGGCGGCTGTGCCCAGCGGCGCTCGGGGGCAGACTGGAGCGGATGGCGGGCGACGACGCCTCCCATCGGGCTGGACCACTGGCGGCGGACGAGGCACGTCAGGCAACCATCCCTAGTCACCGCACCCAAGCGCGTCACAGGCCTCTCCCAAACGCAGGAGACTGACTTTAAATGGCTGAGCGGGTAAGCGAAGTTTCAGTATCAAGTACAAGTCTCCTCAGAGAAGCACACATTATCTTCTTAACGTTTACCGCTTACGCCGCAGCAAGTTCTGTTATGGACTGATGAAATGCGAAAAGAAACGCAGATACACACATGAACGGAGTCAAATATTCGCGTTTAAAAAGGATTGGAAGCTTCTATCCGCCTTTATGCAGCGTCCAAATGCAATAACTGTGCCATATGCGTGCCATGTGAAATACAACTGCAAAATACAATGAGGTCGATCACGTGACGTCGCGACAAAGTCGCACCGATACCTGATAGTATTCATCAGACATTATGAGTATACTCAGCAAAATACAACCATGTGGGAGTGAAAAAGCAAGGCCCACGTGAAAAAGGACGCCAAACTCTTCACCGACAATGCGCCCGACCAAATATATCCCCAATACGCAACTAAGCAGAAACCTACCAAACGCAAAAACCCAGTCACACAAAACCACGCTGGCACCATCATACTCCACACCACGCTGGCAGCGGGCTCGTCCTTACCCATTGCAGCCGTTGAGCCTGTCGGTGCCGAGCTCAGGAGGCGTGGTGTCCGGCGCCCCGTCACCCCTCACCAGGAGCCGCTCCAGCTCGCCGCTGTCGCCGCCGCGTCGCCACCGCCCCCATTCACTGTTGTACAGCAGGGCGTCGCGCCTTACGCTATCCGGCACCGCAGTGTCGGTCCTTATCGCTCTACCGGGCGCCACGCGCCCGCGTCGGGCGCCCCACTGTGGCACGCCGCAGTCCCTAGCCTCCACTGCACACCCCGCTGTACAGCCGCGCCGCGTCCGTATCCCGCGCTGACACAGACGGCGCGCTCGCCCGCAGCGCACGGCTGGCGAGTTCGGTTCGTCGGCACGGCGCTGCGGTCGTCTCGCATCACGCCCGCCGCCGCGCCCGTGGAAGCGAGCCCCTGTTAGCGACGACTGCGCCCCGTCGCCCTGCCGGACTTCGTTCTCTTGGCCGCTGGCTGATCCCCCGCATCCTCCCGCTTCCTCTTGGTCTGCGGCGTCCGCTTGGCCGGAGGCTTCCTGCCGGCCGGCTTCGCTGCGGCCTTCTTGGCCGAGGTGCCCTTAGCCTTTGCGGTTGGTGTTTTCTTCGCGGGGGTTTTGCGAACCGGTGTTTTCTTTGCTGGAGTCTTCTTAGCTGGAATCTTCTTCGGAGTGGCTCTCTTCTTCTGATCCGCCCGAAAACAAGACAGCGAATTAAGCGAAACGTACGATGATAGGAGCGAAGAAATGGAGAACCGGGCAATACAACAGACCACAAGAACCTGGCCCCAACCGAATATGATAAGGGACGGGACAGTGGGCAAACTATAACTGACCGATCTTGGCTTCGGACCATCAGTTGCACACTTACGTAAGCTGACTAGTCATATTAGGGCAAGGTCTTTTTAAGTATTGTATTAGTATTAGTATTAGTATTAGTATTGGTAAGTATTAAGTATGCCTTTGTATTCTTTTATTTTTCGCTCTTCTTCATATTCTATGCATTAGCTTATCGATTATGCACCTTTCGGTACTAGGCAAAAGGAAACGAAGCGGTGTCTGGACACATCCAGTATCGTCTTATGGCACGCAGCCTGCTTATATTCATGTGCCTGCAAAACACTTCCAATGATGGTTTTGCCAGACCGAGGAACAGTTTCATATCTCTCAGACGCCACTGAACCATATTAAACGTCGCGCAATTCTAAAGTGACACGACAATGATTTTCTTCGTGTCTTGGTACCACGCGCCGTTGCTACCGTTGACGGCCGCGGTTCTCCTCCACGTCAGTCCGCTTCCTTCAGTCGACAGCTGTACAGCTGGGCGCGCTGCGTCCCGAATGTGCGCACGTCAGAACGCGACCTCCCATCCTAACAGCCAGTAACACACGCGTCCCGCGCCTCCAGACATGCGTCCGGTGTGCAGAGCTGCCCCAGCCTGCCGGCAGCCGCACGCCCCTCACCTTCACCACCCGCTGCTCCTCCTCGTCACTGTGCTGGTCTTCGTCCTCGTCCCCACCATCGTCAGGCTTGTCGGCGGTGGTCGCGGCGGCCGCGCTTCTCCTGGCTGAGCTGCGGCTGCCCTTCCTGGCGGGGGTGTTGTCCCTTCCCTGTGACTGGCGTTTCTTGGGTGTCTTCGGCTGCGGTACCAACAGGGTGGCGGTTCACACGCGTACGCGAACGCGTCTGGACGCGTGGAGTCATGGCATCACATGAGCTTCGTTCGTTCAGTGTTTCATGGAGATGGCTACGTCGCGAACAAGTGGTTGCGTCAAGAGACGATTTTCAACCAGTCAGTCACATAAAATCAAGCACACAACACAACACAGAACACCGGACTAAATGAGGCCAGATGAGCATACACAACAGCATGCAAACATGAACCTTGACAGCGAGGGACATGCATGTATCCACGACTCTCGGCGCTTGTCCCTCAGCAAGCCCACTTCTTCATCCAATACATCAGTACCATTCATTCTGGGGGCTTCCGAGCGGGGAGCTTCGGCTTACCTCCTTGTCGGAGGGCTTGGGCTGGTGGAGGTACTCGAGCACACTCTCCGCCAGCTGCTCTTGCGTCTTGTCCTCGGTCTCCAGGTCCAGGACGCGGCAGAGGGAGTACAGGACGTCCACATGGTACCTGCAGACCGCAACACGCCAACTCAGATCCAGCACGAGACTTCCACCAGCGTGGGGACGCCGAAGGAACAGAACACGTGCGCGCACAGGCATCATACGCTGAATGCTGCTTCTTAGGAATGGGGCAGCACCGTCTATGCAGCTGTCTTCCAGTGTGATTGCCGGAAATTTGGACCAGAACGGTCTCCAGCGGCTGATCTGACCACAACGCAGTACAACAGTGACGCAAATAACCACTAAACAGCTGCATTGCTAACAATCGTCATACCACACGTAATGATACCAATAAGAATTATTTTGATAAATGCGTGAACGTAACACGAACCTTCCAAGAACCCACGCAAGCGCATACGACATAAGCCTGTGTATACTCGAATGTAACTGTAAAGCCACCAGCTTTGCGGCATCCCACGCCGGTCCCCGCGATACATCCCACCAAACATTCATGCCGCGCGCGGGGCTCGAACCCGCCGTGCGCCGGTCAGCCGCCGCCGCGCCGCCCCGGGGCTGACCTGAGCAGGCTCTCACGCTTCTTGGCGTGCGCGGCCGAGTCGGGCTCGAAGCTGAATCCGTTGAACTGGCGCAGGTTGCGGCGCAGCTCGTGCGGCCTGCCCTGGCGGCCGAACATCACCTGGTGCAGCACGTGCAGCGGCTCGGTCCCGCTCGACTGTGGGGAGAGTCACCGGTCAGACGGGGGAGGCGATCAGAGAGGCAGGGGGAGGGGGCGCACCGCTGGTGAGGGTGATGCAACAGAGTGTGACGCGGCAATGAGGTAGGGGGATGTAGCCTGAACAAGCGATCATTACAGCGATCAGAAGTAACGCAAAATTTTCACCCAGCTGAACTTTAACTGACTACGCGTGGAAAAACGCGGAGGAATGTTGTACGTAAAAACAGAATCATCTTGGAATACATCAGACTATACGAAAGAGAAACTTCGGAGACTGCTGAATATGAAAGAAAATAGCTTAAGACTGAGTAAAACCAGTATAACCGGGAAAACTAGACACCTGATGATATAAACATACCAGGTTTGGAGCATAACTCATTTGCAGAATGAAATAATCCCATTCCATACCAGACATAAAACAGAAAAGCAAATATTTGTAGCCAAGAAAGGAGGACTAATTTAAGCCATCCTTTTCAACAGAAAATGTTTCCCAGAACACTTTATCTATTTTCGTAACCAGTTTATGACAGTTTGCTGTAGATCACATAACCGCACAGCTTACCGTACAGGTCCTTCAACACACACGCACACACACACGCCCCATCCTAGTAGCGCAGCTGCAGCTCAATGCTGTTTTGCGGAGATGTTTTAAAGGGCCACGCAATGATCTGACACGGTCGCCGGGCCGTTTCCCTCGAATTTTCTCGGCCAGCTGTCCAGCAATCCTCAAAGAAGAGCCACGAAAACCATAGTTTCTGGGATGTATACGGAAGCGTTTTCCATCCATTATTCAGTGCCGCACACTGCTAAACTGCCCGTGCTAGTGAGACAGAGGCCAGAGACAGAGGCAGCCCTCTTCGGAGACAGTTGGGTGTTGCCCTAGTCAGACCATTCAGGAAACACCATTTTTGTCACCGACGTCAACATTTACGGACGTTGGCGCCATGACCTACAGCGCTGGTTGTCGTCGGATTGACAAAGTAAGAAGACTAACGCCAGTTGGTAGCACGCACATTCAAGCTTAAAAATTGTAGCGGATGGCTGCCAAATGTAGCTTTCCATCTCAACACCTCAGCCTGCACCAGGCAGCTGCACGATGGCACAGTAGGCACACGAGCACATAGGATGCTTCATGATGTTCCGAAATGCCAGCTGCGTCAGAGAAGCAGCAAAGAAGTTGCTGATGCTATCTCAGAGTACCACTGCCTTCGCGACTACTCAGTCGCGATATGGACAATTGAGCCTCAGAGGGATATGGTGACCTTGGGTCAGGTTAATTGTCACCATAAATACCCAAAAACGGAAAAACAGGGTTTCGGACATCCCCATGCTCCGAGCCTACGGCACCGATCAGCATGAAACCTTCCCCAATTGATGCGCCATAGACGATACGCTATTATTTCCGGAACATGGTGACTTTGGGTCAGGTTAAAGGTCACCATGAATACCAAAATCCGGGAAACCGGTGATCGGTAACAGGTTTAGAGCACGGAGTCGAATGCCACTACACTTTCTGGTTTGGTTTGGTTGGTTGGTTTTTAGGTAATTATGGTGACCTTTGACCTGACTCAAGGTCACTACATTCCAGAGAGGAAATGTTATCAACTAACTTACATTGATTGGTGAAGGTTTGGCGCAAATTGGTGCCACAGGCTCGGGGCATGGGGTTGTCAACAGGTTTTGTCGGCCATTTAGTCCATCCCATTATGTTCATGCCTGGGCGCCATTTCCTTTCCATAATCCAAGCATGCAGCATTGAGACAATCACACACACTATGCCGCCGTCACACACTTCCCGTCCTGTTAAGTATTTCACACACACTTGGGCCTCGCATACAGAAGTGATGGGTTCGACCGGACACTAGCTTGCTGAACATAGCAACCCCTCCCTCCGTCCCCAACGCAGCGTGCCCGGGACTACGTCACCGCCCGAGGCGCACCGCCATACTCTGACTGACCCAAGATCCAGTACGAGGTGTCGATTTGTCGCATTATGATAATGATCTGCCAACCGCAGATCGATCAACTAAAATGTTGTTACGAATGCATTTTTAAGAATCAAATAAATCCACAACAAACAAAAGTGCCGCCTTGCACGCGACTAGACATGCCCGGACTGAATCTGAACAGGCCAGGCAGAGCCCGCTGTTTCCTCCCAGCCCCTCCCTCTCCTCCCGCCTACTCCGGGGGCACCCCGGAGGTCGCTGGCGCGGTGCGGTACCGTAATGTTGCGGCCGACGATGGGGCAGTCGCCGAGCCGGGTGCCGCGTCCCTCCGGCGTCGGCAGGCTGGCGCGGCGCGCCTCAGGCGTCGACTCGGAGAAGCGGTCGACGGCGCGACGCTGGCGGCGACCGCTCGTCTCCGCCGGCTGCTCCAGCAGCGGCACTGCCGGCGCAGGGGCGGCGTTGGGCGAGGCGGCGCGGGGTGACGTGGTGAGGTGACGTTTGGGGGGGAGATACGGCATCAGTGACATTACTGAAGAATGAGAACACAATCAACAGGTCACCCTACAGAATCCACAGGCAGGGTACCACTGTTAGCAGATGACACAAGGCCAAATACAAAGCTTGCACATTATGTAGCATCACTCCGCACTTGAGCAACCAAAAACATGCAGAATTTGATACAAAATTATGAGATCCTTGCAATTTTACCCACCATGTTCTTCCAGTTCAGCATCTTCATATCCTGCAGCAGTATCTGGCTTTTGTTCAGATTTCTTTGTCCCCCCTTCATCAACTTTGACAGCCACATCATCTACTTCCATAAGCTCAGGCTGCTCTGACTCCCTGTCATCCACATTTGTCTCCCTCTCCTTTTCATTCTCAGTAACACCTTGTTGATAAGTCTCATCTACAGTGTCAGTTGGCTTCTCTGCCTCCAGGACAGCTTTTTCTTTCTCTTCACATGCCTTGTGGGCCAGCTCCTCTGCCCCCAAGACAGCTGTTTCTCTCTCTTCAGATGTCTTGTGGACCAGCTCCTCTGTCTTCAGGACAGTTTTTTCCTTCTCTTGAGGTGCCTTGTGAGCCAGCTTCTCTGTCCCCAAGACAACTGTTTCTTTCTCTTTAGGTGCCTTGTGAGCCAGCTCCTCTGTCTCCAACACAGCTTTTTCCTTCTCTTCAGGTGCCTTGTGAACCAGCTCCTCTGCCCCAAGGACCATCCTTTCTTTCTCTTCAGGTGCCTTGAGGACCAGCTCCTCTGTCTCCAACACAGCTTTTTCTTGCCCTTCAAGTGCATTGCAAGCAAGCTTCTCAGCCCCCAGCAAAAATTTTTCCTGCTCTTCAGGCAATTTTCTTTCTTCATGAACTGACACTTTCTGAGGTGGCATTGGTTCCTTTTCTGGAGCCAAACCACTTTTTGGGTGTAGAGACTCCCCATTAGTTTCCACCACTTCTTCTTCAATCACTGTATCATCTTCACAAGATTGAGGGAGCATCTCAGGCAGTTCTGGGGATTTTTCTTCTTGAGGTTTGCCCTCTAGAATGATTCCGACATCAGGAGACTCCTCCTTTTGAGGACTGTTCTCCAGCGCTTGAACTATATCAGGAGACTCCAATTCAGGTTGGCTTTCAGGCACCTCAGCAACATCACATGACTGCTCTTTATCATGTCTTGTTTCAGTATCTAATGCCATTTCTTTTTCCATATCTTTTTTGCATTGTAACTGGTCTGTCAGCACAGGCTCCTTCAACAATGGCTCAGGTGCTGGTTTCTCCATTTCTTGAGCTTGAGGAACTAGTTTAGGCTCTGTTGACTTGGCTTCTATGCACACTTTTTTCTCAGACTCATTTTGCTCACATTGTTCAGCCTTATTTGACAATGGCAAAGCATCTGCTGTGTCCAAAACTGCTGCTTGAGCCCTTTCAGAAACTGGCAGAATTTCTCCTACACCTTCAACCAGTCTTTGACCCTTGTCTGGTATTGGTGGCATTTCTGCTTTATCTCCAGCTGGCTTCTGAGCAGTTATTTCAATTTTCTCCGACACAAGACCCAGGTTGGGAATTTCCACAGAATGGTTGTTGTCCATTATTTGTGGCCCACTCAAAAAAGGCCCTGCACTTTGGTGAATGTCCGATGTTCCATTTTTATGCACACCATCAGCACTGATGCCAGACAGTGATGTCATCACTGGCGTAAATGTCCCTGAGAAGAGAAATGACATTTTCAACTAAGCCCTTGCAAAATCTAGGGACAGGTAAGCACATATATCAAACACACCTGAAGTTCTTACACCAAGCCTAGACTCCTGTTTAACTTTCATTGGAAGGTGGTGCTTCAGGGCTACATACATGTTTACATTTTGTTGCTCCATGATACCCAATGTAATGAGGGGAAAAATTCAGTATGGATGGCTAAATATGCAAATATCATAACCTAATAGTCAATACTGCTATACCCCTAATCACAGCAGCAGGCAATAGTCCAAATACAGCACAACTGCACCAATAATTTAAAGTTCATTCAATATTCATCTGAACTTTGGAAGAGGACTAGTGAGCCACCCAGATTTCCAGCCATTCTGACACAAACGGGCCATTATGCAAGAGATCTGGATGCCCTTTTAGCTTTCAAGCTACCTTTCAACAGTAATACATGGTACATTCCCCAGCATAAATGGCGAACACTGCTCGCAGCGTTGCCGGCTCCATAGATGTGCCCACGATGCTACTTTGTACCACTTCTCAACGACCATACTAACCACAAAAACGAGAGGCAAAATCTATTTACCGACCGGCACGTTCAAGGAGACCTGCTGCACTATCAGTGCCTTGTTGGATACGAACGGCACTTGGGACTCGTAACTTGGCGGTCCCCAATTTTGAACTACTTCTAAGCGTACTACGACACAGTGCGCAGTAGAGGCGTCAAACAAGGGCGTCATTGAACGAAACACGCAGCCTTGGCTGCCATATTACTTTTTCGCCTTCACCCGAGGATTATGGTATATTTTACAAAAGACCGACCTAAATGTCAGTTCTGATTGTTCAGTTCTGGATGTTGGGGAGTCCAGAACATTTTTTTCATAAAATTAAAGCTCAGGTATAACGTTTCATGGATAGAAAGCATCACAAAAGTGCACTTTTCGAAGCTAACGCTGGGACAATACTGGTATTTGGGCAAATACCGTGATATGGTGGCATTACAGACCCAGTGTGGCGAACGCAACGAGTGTGTTGCAATTTGTGCTGGGTGCTATCGGCTCGGTCTGCTGCGTTAAGGTTCCCTGGTTGTGTCTGGGCGAAGGTCTGGTAGTTCAGGTAAATCTATAGGGCTTTGCGTCTTTTGATACCGTGGAGTACCCGAGGTCTTGGGAGGTAGTTCTTGAGATTGAAGGCATAGCTATTTCATAACTTGTTGCAAAAAATTGCTAGAAGGTGGGGCGCAGTTGGTTACTTTCCTTTGTTTTGACATCTGTAGGTAACGTAAAATATTCTTGTCACAGACAGCATCTGCCTGCAGTGCCTGATAGTTTGCTTTTTTGCATTGACATTTTAATGAAGTAAGTCACCAGTAAAGCAAAGAGCAGCAGTAGAACCTTTGTGGTGGATCAGGGTACAAGCATTCTATGGCCTGGTGTCTTTTCATGCACTCCTATGGGTTAATATTGAAGGTTGCCTTGAGTTGGGGAACCATAATCTATCACCCCAACATCATTGTTGACACTAGTACAACCTCTGGTCCAGCCTACAGAAAATAGGTGTGCAGCAGAACACATCTGGAAAAATAGGGATATGACAGCAGTGGTTTGGATCATGTATCCTGTATGTACATGTTTTCAGAGTTTGGCATGGGTTCCAATAATTTCAGCATACAGAGAGCCAATGATTCCTGAATACTGATGTGAAAAGGTTATTTTAGGCAAAAGTCCTCAAAATACATTTATATGTGAGAGTCAATGTACAAATTTCTGTACAAGTTGGCCTGGCTAGAGCTCAGCTTATATTTCTGGGCTTGGGTTTAGTGCATTAGTCCATTCTTGAAACCAGGAGGTATGCATACTCGTCATCACCAGCCACTGTGTAAATTTGTTAATTGACCTTACTGGTACCAGTTGGCTGATTCTTAAATGTTTGGTATGCAAAAGCCTGCTTTGTGCATTCTTTTGTATTCAAGGCCTCAAGCATTAGTCTAATTTTTTTAGATGTTAGGGATGAAAATTAAGTACCATTGCACCCATTACTATATCAGTATTAAGCTGACTTGTGGGTCACTGCACATGGGTCATTAAATGGTCATGAGTTTATTTAGCTGCCTTTTGTCATAGCCATGGAAGCTCTCGCCAGTCATGACATTGAGTGATGGCTTGTGCGAGGCTTAATTATTTTTCTCCTTCCAGCTAGGTAAAAAACTATACCCTTGCTTCATATTGAGTGAAGAGTAATAGCTGGTTTGTTAATGGATTAACTATGAAATGGTTGAATTTCTAGGTTGGAAACCTGCACCAGAAATAACCTTTCCATCTTTGCTTTAGCCTATCCCTCAAAGGCAGGTCTTTGAGACTGTGAACAAAGGCTTAGCTGGGGAATGTGCCCATTATTGTAGGATAGGAGCTACTTTAAGTTAATTGTTCTACAATGTTTTAGATTTAGCCCCTGCTCTGATAGGGATGGGGTGATGCAATGGCTTGGGTTTGTTGAGGATACCTCTCCAGCATGTTGTGCAATGGTGCCCAAAGTTTCAGTAGCACATGGGGCATCCATTTTGCATGGTTTGACACTAGAAATGTGTTCCCAGCTTTTCTGGTTGGGGCCACCCTGTTTTTTTAGCACCAGGGCATGATGATGTGCAGCCTGAACAGGCAGGCAGGTGGTAACTGATGATGTCGCAGAGTGTGCATGGCGGGCCGACGTTGTTACATTAATGGAGCCTTATATCATAAATGTATGATCAGAACACACAGGAATATGCACAATTGTACTCAGCATTGCACAAGAATCATACAGGTCTAAGTTTTGTATCGCTACAAAGCGTGGTCTGGTGGGTATGATGTGTAGCTAATAAAGTGAGGTCTGCTGAAAAAAGTGAGCCTGAGTAGTTATAAGGGTATTGATTATCCATGGAACAACATAAATACTGGTGTCAATTGTGAGGCCTCATTCAGAGTAATCCACTGATGCTTTCCACTAAGGTCTGTCATTAGTTTGGAAACACCAAGGGCTTGCATCCCCCTACCAGTCTGCATTATGAAAAACAGCAAATTTGGGCAAGGGCCAGATGCAATGAAATTTCAGGACCATTTATGTCTGACTGCAGAGTCCAAAATACACTGTCAGTGCATGTTTTGTCTACACAACACATATTATCATGCTTTTAGTTGTATGGCTTGGACCTCTATTGTAGTGTTGTGGAGCTTGCAGTTGGCCTGCAGGCTACTGGGGTCTTTTGTGCCTATACAGGTGCACATACCTTTATGGGTCTGTTTTAATGGGCAGATAAGTCTCACCAGCTGAGCAGTGGACTGACTGACCCCAAATATTGGCTTGTGATACATGTGATAGCTAGTGACTCAGTATTCTGACATTCTTTCAGATGAGGTAACATTAGGGAACAGTTCACTTGCTTGGGAATGTGGCAAACAGTTAACTCTTTCTATGACATATTTGAAAGGATGTTCTGCGTAATGATGGGAGAGTGTGGATGACTTCAAAACTTTTTGAAACATGTTGTGTTGATTTGTATGACAATGCCGAGACAGTACAATGTCTTGGTAGTGCTAATTGGTTGCAATGTATTATATTCACATTCATGACTAGCAGAATGCGAAAGGCTTCTGTGCCTTTTCATTATGTGAGATGAGGTGGAGCTGTCAACAACCCAAACATATAACACCAGCGAGATAGGCCCGGGCAGGGAGTCAATCCAGGCAGAAATGTTAGATACAGCTCTAATTTTTAAACCCCCAGAGCCAACTGCCACACTGTGATGCATTGCCAACCACTTAGCACCGTCTTACATGTCCAACGCCTTAGGGCAGTGGTCTGTCACATGCTGAGCACGGTGACAATATAGCCTTAGAGCATGCAGTAGAATTACTTAGTTTCACATGGCTTTATTTCAGCAGTGTTCACCAAGGCCATAGTGTCTTGTGGGTGTATTTGTTGATGGAAGGGCCAGTAAACTTTGCTAGAACTGGAGCCTAGGTGCATGACCATTTCCAGTGGACACCTTAAAACTCAACCAGAGTCTGCACCACTCTAGCATTTGCCTCTTTGAAAGGCCATCATCTGGAATGTGTGCTGCTGTAGTCATATAAAGTTATCAGATGTATAAAACATGTATTCACCATAATATCATGTTAAGTGGTTGTTGTGCCTCTCAATGTTGTGTCCACGCAGCTTTTTCAGTTGCAGTCATGGTAGGCATCAGCAGCGAGTGGAAATCCTCATGATGTCGTCGTGTTACAGACAACAGCCATGTACTGTCTGCAATGGCTGATCCCGGTGCTGCTCATTCCGAAGCCCCTGAACCCGGCCATGCTGCACAACCACATCATGTTCGTCGTGCTCTACCTGATTGGCTTCTTCCTAGAGAAGAAGCCATGCACCATCTGCAGTCTGGTCTTCTTTGCCGCCGTCCTGCTCATCTGCTATTCCGGCATCGGCAACTGCATTTTCTGGAGCAGCAACTGTGACTCGGTGTCATGCGACAACGGCTAACGCGCCGGCCGCCCCGCCCCGCCAACGCAGCCAAAGGCGTTGACGGGCATGGCGCCCTCAGACTCCGACAGTTGTGATACTCTGTGTGCTGTGTGACGGGTGGGTCTGCGCGCCGCCCAGCGTGTGTCGCCCGGGTGGGCGCGTGCGCACGCGGGCCTCGGTCGCCGCGCGGCGTTCAGGAGGCGGGGAGAGCGCTTCTCGGGCTGGTAGAACGGGTGAGGTGGGTCAGCTCGAGCGGGATGCCAGCCGTTGTGCCGCTCGGACGGCGGGATGTAGCTGACCAGGCACGTTGACGTGGTGTCGTGGCTCTGATAGTGCGTCTCGTCGGTGGCAGCGAGCGGGTCGAGCCCGCCGTGCGCTCGGCGCGCGCCGACCTTCTTGGCCGGCCGACGGCAACCCGTGCCAGTCCCAGTAGCGCTCCGCGCTGCGCTGTCGGCCAGCTGGTGGCCGCCGCCACAGGCGCTGCTTCCGGTCTGAAGGGCGCCAGCCGGGCCCAGATCCGGGCCGGTCTCTGCCGGTGTGTCGGGCGGAGCGGTGACGACCGTCGGCCGGGAGTCGGGCACCCCGCTCACGGAGGTGCTGCCGGGGCGCCGCGCCGTCTGACTCCGTCCCGCGCTCGGCTGGCGGACCGCGCCGGCTGCAGGAGCGCCCGGCGGCGGCGCGCACCGCTGCGCGCGCCGCGCCGCTGCGGATCTCGACCAGCCGGCCGGCGGCTCCGCGCTCGGTAGGGGCGCTGCTGTAGCTAGCCTGAGTCCGTGCGCCATTCAACGCCACCTGTTGCCGTTGGGTGGGATAACCGACCGCGGCTTGCGTGTGTCACCTGTACGGGTGACATGTTTCGAGATCTTGCAGTGGCGTGTGTTCGCGGGGCTTTCTACTGAGGCATTATTATAATTATAGGTTGTCATGAGTGTGATTCCGCTGTTTTCTCACCAGTTACTGGGATATTTTGTGTAGATATCATTCTCTGTGACCCGGCTATAGTTGCCGGCACTGGTACTAGTCAAGTTGCTGGTACTAGTCAAGGACTCTCCACACATGTTCCACTGTAGGGGTATGCCGCTGGAATCTTCAGCGGGCTCTTCTTTAGTCGCCGGTCGCAGAGAGCATGCTTCGTCTAGCGTCTATTAAAAAAAATGCCTCTTGACCGCCCATTCGTCCTGGCAGAACTTCTGATAATCTGATAATTTACACATGCCGCGACGTCCCACATGCCGCACTTTGTCGCCCGCGCCCTGGTCCATGGCAAAACAGCTGAAAGACACTACTGCCAAAGGTACGGCTTTATCAGTGCTCAGCCGAACTGCCGTGGATGAAGGCTGCTGGAGCGGTCGACTCGTGGTCTCTGTTGTTTGGCTCGCGGAGGAACACTTGCGTGGACAGGACCTGGCTTTTAGCGCTGGCAGAGTGCTGGTTTACGAGCATTTGTTGGCGTCATGTAGCGGTTCTTTTACCATCTGGCTGTGACCCTGGTGTTAATAGGCCAGGCTCATTGGCGATGTGTGAGACGACACGCAAAAGCAAAGAAAACGAACCGCAATGAGTCGTTACGCATGAACGGGGCCGTGCATCAGCCTCGTTAGGTCGGCTTCTGATCCGCGTTAGCCGACACTCGACACGGTCAGGTGCTCTTGACGCCGCGGTTAACTGCAGTGAAGCGTCATTTTTCACGAGCACCGTCCTGGTGCGGTCAAGGCGACGAGTGGAACGGGCTGCTGAAAGCATGTATGTAGATCTGGATTCGTTTTGTAACCACCAGCATGAAGGCGAAGAGCATGGTCGGGTTTCTTCAAGTTCAACGCAGAGGTGCCGCCTGCGGGGGTTCCCCGATCATCGTCATTCGAGAATCGCTTTTGCATGCCGATGCGTGGCTCTTACGCAATACACATTACAACGGCTCTCCACCTATAATACTGCCACGAGTTCTCCCGAGCCCTGCCTGGTGCGCTCAGCGAGAATGCGTGACATCTTCCGCCGCTGGCGCAGACGACGCGCGGTACCAGCAACTTGGTGGTGGTTGGCAGTTGGTGGACGCAGAGGCGCGGAACTGCAAGGGCGGGCAGGCCGGGACTGGGCGTCATGAATGTTCGCTAAGGAAGCAGCTAGAAATTCAGTGGGATTGGCGACGACTAGATGCGTTGGATTACCGTGTACAGAAGGGGAACCGGGATTTGACCGGTGCAGGTCGCCGGGTCTGCGTGGGCTCGCGCAGACGGATCCAGCAAAATGTGTCCAGGACGGCCAATGACTGCCAGGTGTTATTGGGAAAGAGGAAAATACAGAAAGCATGTCTAATAAAAATAGGAAATTCGAACCGACATAGATGCTTATAGGATATCAGCTCAGAAATTAAGTTGGATTGGGGGAGGGGGGGGGGCTGAACATGAGGAAATAATTAAACATAACCTTCAACATGCGACAAAAATGGAGTTCTACCCGAGTATGGCCGACTTTTGCCTGGGAGGAGGCTGGAGCATTCCCCATATTGAATAGAAAACTGCACCCCTGATGAAGTTCGAAATGCCGTATAAACAACTCGTGCGTTCAAAATACCTGCGATTTACCCCCCCCCCCCCCCCCCTCCGATGGCCGCGATCGCGCCGTGCTACGACACGGCTTGCAAGCCCCTTATGGGCCCAGGCTGAGGTAGACACAGGACAAGAGCGTTCTGCGCCCGCAGTTGTCTCGGGCACACTGGTAGTCGGGTCTTCGAACCTGTTGAGACGTCTGCTAAGCATTTGAGTACCTACTTGTATCGCGTCCCAAAGACACGGGCCGTCGCGTGCGTACAGCCTCAGCAGCCCTGAGACATTTGGAACATATCTGACAGCTTCGAGGTGACCACGGGCGCGGCTGCTTCCAAGTTTTGCTCTGCCCTGTGGAGTGTTCGAGTCGTGAGTCCTGCTAAGCGGGGAAAAGACTAACTGAGGCTCAGATGTTTGCTGAATCGCTTTGCCAGCTTGCCTTGCCTTCATAAATTAGCAGCAAAAGCGTCCTCCAATCGCACTTGTTTCATGTGAAGTACCCAAGAGACACAGGCGAGAATTAGCTGCAGCTTAGTGAGAGCGCAGGGAATTTTTTTCTCCACTCATGCCGGTTTCATGTTGCAAAAATGTTCAATTCTAGGGCCCGATAGCACATGCCGTTCTTCGTTGTCTTGACACTTATTTGCGATGAATGGCCACTCCCTTGCAGTCCCTCTGCGCCATCGTGCCCTCATATCTGGTCTCTGATTACTGGTGCTGGTTACTAGTACTGGTGGCGCAATGGGTAGATCTTGCTTCTGGCTGGTGGTGCAGCGGTCAGATTTCTTACGAGATGACTGGACGTACGGCTATTGTAGACGAACAGCAGCGTAACTTGTTGGTCCTGTCGGACCAATGAAGTCCGCTCTTGAAACGGCCATCTCTCAACCGTACATCAGCAATAGTTTTGCGCCTGCAGTTATATATATATATATATATATATATATATATATATATATATATATATATACAGGAATATTTATTGACGTTCATTCACGAGTGCCGTTCCAAAAGGAAGCCAGTGCATTACTGCAGCCGCCAAGCCAAGCCGTGACAGCCGTGAGGTACATGGCTGGGCGCTGCACGTGTACAAGCGATACATTGTACATGCAGCCAGGGCATACCGGCATGCAGCTGCTACTAACTAACAGAAAACACTGGATGCAAAGAGCGGCGCAACACTCATGATCTGCATGCCCATCTCATGCATATGCCAGCGTCCCTGAGTGCGCCTTGGGCCGGGGCTAGCACCTCCTCTGCATCTGCATACGCTTCTGCCCAATTGTCATGCACTAGAATGCCAGGCATGCTCGATCGACAGCAGCCGCCCGGGTCGCTGCAAAGTTATGGCGTTGCATAAGTGCAGCGGAGCGCGCGCTAAACTGGGGCACGGGCCGCGCTCGGGTCGGCAGGTGGTCGCCCATGGAGAGGACCGGTCGGCTGACGTAACCGCCACCCTCGCGCCGCCGAACACGTGCGAGCTGTCTGGACGCAGCTCGGCTCGTCGGACGGGGCGTCGCCTGCGGAGGGCGGAGCTGTGGGGTGGGAGATGGTGAGATCTCCGAAACGAATGTTGGGAATTATGCATGGGAGCTTCATTGTCAGATGAGGAAGAGAGGCTCAAACCACCCGCCAAGACGTAACTGAGCTGAATTCTTTACAGAGCGGCGTCTCGTCTCACTAGCGAAAAATAAAAGAAACAAAACAACAACAAACTGGCGAACAAAAACGTGCCAGCTTCCGGTCCCGGCTCGACGGGCTGATTCCCCACTTGGAGGATATTTGTATTGGGGGTGAGGGCGCGTCGACCACGGCGATTATTTTGCACCCAACGCTGTGTCAAGTATCCTCCATGCATACGGAGGGTGCACGAATTGCACACCCAGAGTGCGGAGTCATCACGCCTGAGTTGGGTTCATCAGAGTCCCTGTCATTTTGGTAACATTTGGGATTCGAATACGAGGGTACGCGGATTCAGATTCGGATTCGATTGTACAATTCAGGTTGCATGGCATGTGTGCTTCAAAATCTTGCACTAACAGTATATTTTAATAACAAGGACGGACTACTCAGCCCAATGCAGCTGAAAAAAACGCTAACCGAGGTTAGGTGTTCTAATCTGATTGCAGGGTTTTTGACTTTCTAATATTCAATGTAATGCACCTCATTACATACTTTTCAGGTATGTAATGAGGTGCATTTCAAACTTCAACGGGAGTTTTCAGGTTTGGTGTCGTTTTCGCGATTCGAACCTTGATTTCCAGGGTTCAAATCCTCGTTTCTTGGGATCCAAGAATTCGCAACATTTGCAAGGATCTATCGAATTTACACCGCTCCTGCGAGTCCACAGCCTGAGCTCTGGTCTCGGCTCAGTAAGAACATCCGCTCCTGTCCTGGGAGAGGACATGTCCCATATCTACAGAGGACGCCATCTGCCTCGGTGCCAGCGTCTGCATGATTCGCCACCTGTGCCCGCTTGCCCCCGGGGTTTTCTTGGCAGCGCTTTCCAGAGCTTTTGAGCAGTCGTGTCTGCTGGGCGTTCCGGCCGTCGCTGCGGTTGGTTTCTGTATTCGCAGGATGACTCACAACGTGGTGAGCAGCCCCGACGCCGGCTTGCGTGTTGTGTAAGTATGTTGCCGGCTCAAGATATGTTTAGCTGACCTGCTGCCAGCTTTCGGCACGCCGCGAGGACTTCCTGCCGGTTCATGGCATACCACGTCGTGCGGACCTGCCGCCGGCTCTAGATACACTTGTGTAGACATACCACCAGCCCATGACGTATCATGTACCGTCGCCGGCGGCTGACGTCTTGTTCGAGGCCATGCGCAGCTCTGAACGAGACGTGCCGCCGCCCGCCGCTGTGCGGTTCATGGCCCAGTCACGCCTGAGCCGCGCCGCGGCGGCACGTGCAGCCCGGCACACCCGCGAGGCGCCGCCGCCTGCACGACCCCGCCGTCCTCTGCGTCGCGAAGTCATTGTGTGCCGCGCCGCCCTGCACGTGCCGTGCCGGCTGCAGCACGCCCTCGCGCTTACGGTGGGGGTTGTCAGCGGCGTGACCCGCACGGGTTTACGGCCGCGCGCACCG